GGAAAAGATATCCCACACTATGTCGTCAGAAAAAAGCAATTAATATAACCACACCATTACACACATTTGTAACTGCTAATGCTTGGAAGCAAACAAAATGTTCTTTAGGGCCTCTCTCATAGTGTAAGGGTTAAGTCTCAGTGCTATCACACTGACTGTTGACCCACATGGCACAACAGACCTCTCCTGTCTCGCCCGCTGCTCCCCTCAGCAGTGTATTTCAGTCAATCCACCTGTTCTGTTCCCCACTCTGTCTCTGCTGAATCTTCTCATTCCCTGTGCCTCTGGCCTACACCCCAGTTCTTGTATGCATAAAAATGTTTTTAAAAAAGATAAAAGTTGGGCCTCCCCGGTGGCTCAGCAGTTGAGTGCTGGGTTGCGAGGTTCGTTGCCCGGCTGCTCCCCGGCCACCAGAGGAGGGTCCCACATGGCACGCAGACCTCTCCTGCCGCCCGATGCTCCCCTCAGCAGTGTACTTGGGTCCTTCTGCCTGCTCTGCTCCCTGCTCTGGCTCTGGTGAATTCTCTCACCCTTCCGCGCTTCTGACTGTACCCGGTGCTTGTATAAATAAATAAAGAAATCTTTAAAATAAATAAATAAATAAAAATAAAAAAGATAAAAGTTAAGTATGAAACAGGTGAACATTAAAAAAAAGTTCTTTAATTGGTGAATAAATAAAATAAAGTATATCATACCATGAATATTATTCAGCAATAAAAAAATTCATTTTGAAGTCATGAAAAGACATGGAGGAAACTTTAAGTAATTGCTAAGAGAAAGAAATCAATCTGCAAAGGCTATATACTGTATTTTCCCAAGTATATTCCATTCTGGAAAGGGTGAAACTACAGAAATAAAAAGATGATTATCAGGGCCTCTCCAGTGGCGCAGCGGTTGAGCACTGGGTTGCGAAGCTGCCCGCAGTCTCTGCAGCACCGGTTCCATCCCTGGCCGCCGGGCAAGGGTCCCACATGGCGCGCAGACCTCTCCTGCCTCCCGCTGCTCCCCTCAGCAGTGTACTTCGTCACTCTGCCTATTCTACTCTCCGCTCTAGCTCTGGTGAATTCTCTCACCCTCCCACACTTCTGACTGTACCCAGTGCTTGTATAAATAAATAAATAAATCTTAAAAAAAAAAAAAGGTGATTTTTGCGCCAACCCCTGGTGGCGCAAGGGGTTAAGCGCCGCACTGTGAAGCAATCCGCGGCCTCTTCAGCACGAGTTCAATCCTCGGCTGGCCAGGGAGCTAGCTACCCACATGGCGCAGCAGACCTCTCCTGTCTCGCCCACTGCTCCCCTCAGCAGTGTATTTCAGTCAGTCTGCCTGTTCGGCTCCCACTCTATCCCTGGTGGATCCTCTTACCCCCTGCATCTCTGGCCTGTACCCAGCTCTTGTATGCATAAATAAATAAATCTTTAAAAAAAAAAAAAAAAAGGTGATTATTAGGGACAGAGGTGGGAAGATGTAAGAAGGGAAAATAGGTGGAACATGGAATTTTTAGAGCAATGAAATTTCTTTGTCTCATACCATAATGGTGATACATATCATTATACATTTTGTCAAAAATCCTGGAATGTGCGATACAAACTACAATGAGCCCAAATATAAACTATGGACTTTATATTAGTAATATATCAATAGCTGCTAATTAATTTTAACAAATGTACCACACTAAAGCCAAATGACAATAATATGATAAACTAGGAGAGTAGGATAAGGGGACATAAGGGAACTCTGGACTTTCTATTCAATGTTTCTGTAAACCTAAAACTGCTAAAAATATATAATCCCTTTAAAAATAGAACAAACAGTTTTAATTAGTTGCAATACACACTGAGGAATTAAGATAAGATATTTCAGAATGGAATTCTGAATGGTCTTCTTGGAGTCAGGATATAAGAGCTAGAGCTGAATAGTGAATAAAAAAATGAGTGAAAAGTCTTACACATAGAAAGGAACAGTAGAATGCAATTATAACATTTGGAGAAAAAGAGGAAAGGGAATAAAATGTGCCTGCAAGATTTCCATACTTCAATTACTGGATGAATAGCAGATATTTAGCAATTTTTTTTTAAGCTAACAAAGTACCATGTACAGAAATGGGCAGTACAAATGCAATGGTGAACCACATTCACACAGTTGTTTCTCTCAGGGAATTTAATCTGATTGTGACATTCCTGATAGAGAATGGAGAAAGAAAGCATTTTTCATGAGAATATGAGCTTGTTTCTCAAATCAGAATCTAGGGAAATTTGAAAGTTAAAATTGTAGAGATTATTATAGCAATACCTCTGATAAAATGTCCTCTAGACCAGTGTTCCTTAAACAGACAGGGGTGAGAGAAGAACTAGTAGCATTTTGGATGCAACAATGTGCAGGATTTTACTGCACTGCAAAATATTTAAAATGCCTAGCTTCTACCCACTTAGTGTCAGTGTCTAATCTTAATCACTGTGACAACTAAATGTGCCCACTATTCCAAATGTCCCCTGGGGGAGGTTCTGCCTTGCTAGAGAACCCTACTTTAGACAACTGGATAAAAGACTGCACACACTTCAGATTAAAAAAAAATAAACATTAATAGGCATACCTTGAATAACAAGTCTCCAACTTGTCCACAACCTATTAAATAAATGTGAGACTTTCTGTCTCTGTCTGCCCCACATTTTCTGTCACCACAAAAGAAAATAAAGCTGTTCTGAATTGACAAAAACCGACTGGTAGTCATCAAGGGAAAATGTTCAAAATGAAATTTACCTCATGTCAGACAAAGCAATGTTCAAGGGATCAAACTCAGGTGATTTCTGTTATGTGTACACAGAACATTTTATTAAAGTTCTTTTGTCTCTCCTTTCCCTTCCAAATTTATTTTCTTAATAAAAATCACCTATCTCTTCACATCTTTATTTTTAATTAAAAAAAGTCTATGCTAAACCAACAGAGTTAGCAAAAGCCCTCACTAAAAAGGGAAGATGACATATTTTGAAATAAAAATAGTTAAAATGAAGAAGCAATTATTATTAAGTCTCTAAAAGCCTTAACATTGTCCAAGACACTCCTTAAAGTCATCAGAATTGTCTGACAAACTCTAAATATTCTACCAACATAGTATATTTGATCTTAACAATACAAAAATTTATTTAATGTTATTTGTAGAACATTTGTATTTTAATTTATTTCTATAATTGTAGCCATGTAATTTTCATTTGTTTTATTATGAAAGTTAAAACTCAAATATGCAGTTGGAAAAAACTGGGCACAATTAATCATCTGTAAGTTAAGCAGTTTCCACTAAATTATTTCTAGGTTGATTTCCTGGCCTAAAATTCTCTGATTCTATAATGTTGAATAGAATGTTATAGATTTTGGGCTTACAAAATGGAATTTGGACTGAAATCTGATTATGAGGTATAGTCAACCTAAATACATCTGTATTTGAATATAAATGGCTATATATTGGCATTATTAATCACTAATAAATATTGAATTTTTGCCCTCTCCCATATCCCTGGTATGTGCCAATGCCTTAAAAGAAAACACCTAAGAAATTCAAAGTAAATGTGAAACTTCATACATGTAAGTCAGGTAGGACAACTAGAACAAACCTGGACCAGATGATTTACTGATGAGAGTCCACTGCCTGTGTGGGATTATAACCAGGAAGTGAAGGCTAATAAAATTTATTTAGAATAAATATATTGGCAGACCCAGATCTAGATGATACTCGGTTTAAAAAAAAAAAAAAAACTTAGAAACACATTTTAAAAAATAACAGATATTTGGGATAGAAAGCAGAAGGAAAATAAGGAGTATTTGTTCTAAAAGTCTTAACTAATTTATTTGTTATAAAAGAGACCAGCATATAAAGCAAATTCAACAGCTAAAAACTTGGATGAACTTTCCTGAACTACAGTAATAATTTTAAAAATAACTAGCACATGTGACTTACTGTGTACCGGACATTATAAGATCATTTAGTCATCCTGACACCCTTCTGAAGTGGGTTCTACTATTATCATCTTCACTGGACAATTGAAAAAACCAAGGTAAAGTGAAATTAAGTAGCCAGTCCACAGATAAGTGACTGAGTCAAGATTCAAAACAGACAACTTGACTCCAGAGTGGATGTAATTAATTCTTTACCCTAGGCCAAAAGGTGCTGGGAATGAGACAGGAGAGCAAAGAGAGAGAGAAAAAAAACAAAAAAAAACAAAAAAAAAAACCTCCTCTTGGGATAAATACAGCTTTATCAAAGATGCACACTCTTCTTTCTTTTTCTGAAAATGAATAAGAAGATGAAAGATACAGAAATAATCAGAAGTGGTTAAGAATATGTGACTTAGAGATGTTTTAAAGTGGAGAAAATCTGTATACCTATGGCATTTTCTCAGTAGTCCTATAAAAAATGAGTCAGTGTTCTCTCTGAGTCAAAGAAGGTGGTAGAGTTGATGGATACTGATGGATATGGAAGAAACTAAGCAATTTTGTTTCAAAAATTAGGTCTAGAGTAAGAAATTGACAACCAGTCGATTTTAAAAATTGTATCTTCATGCATCACATATCTTAGGAATTCTGAGCCTTGAACCATGATATTTCCTAGTTATTATCAAATCAGGATGATGAAGGCTGATAAAATTTATTTAGAATGGATATTTCTCTAGTATATTTCAAATAGGATTCATCTCCTAAAATATTTATTTCACTCAGTATTTGTGTTCTGAACCATTTAAAACTTTTTTCCCTTATGATTGTTTTTTTAAGACTGGAAAGGGCTAGGGTTGAATTATGTTTGCATCACACCAAATTGTTTCCTCCAAATATGACATATAGTCTGTTCCTTCATCTGAAGAAATAACCTCCAAGTTTTCAAATGTTTTTATCTTTGTGGTAAATCAGCTACCTATGAGAGTCAACAATGGCTTATTACTACACTTCATCCATGAAACAAATATATTTGCATTCATTTAAATGACAGGAAAAGAAATGCGTGAATAACTTACTTGTATTGTATACCTCTCAAGTGGCATAAAGTATTCAACTGACCATAATCAATGTGCTTAGACACTTTCAAATCTAAAAAAAAAATCAATTAAAAATGTGAGTAATTTTCTGTAATCCTATTAACCAAGTGTGTAAATAGAGTTTAATTGCACACATTTATCACTGTAAAAGAAATCAATGATTATGGAAGTGAAGTATTAATAGTCTTTGTGACACAAGCAGAATTGAATAGGGTGATTAAAATGAGGAAATTATTTAATGTTTTCCATTGTTGTCAAATCTGGTCTGGCACTGTTTTTTTAATTCCAGTAAATGCTGAAGTTTATCTGCATAACAGAATATCACTCCTCTGAAAGTAAGCTTCTCAGAATCCATAATCCTATATTAGAATATGAGTGGCTCCATAACTCCAGACATGACAATTTAAAGAAGAGTATTCCTGAAGTGTGTGTCTCTCTGTGAAACACTGATAAGTTTGATTCAATCCTATGCAGACCCCATTTTTGTTTGGCTAGCCCCTGTTCAGGTCACCTTTCAGTGTCTGAATTTAGTTTGCAATTCCTTCTGAAGTTTGAGTGCAACAAATCACATAAAATCCCTTGTAAAAGTAATCATAATGAAGAAGCAAACTAATTGTGATTTTTCTCAATGTCAGAAAGAGCTGACTTCCTTCAAAGGAGATGGAGAGAAAAGTAGAATTTTGAGTATTGCATGCATCATTACAATGATGGGCACTCACGTCACAGGCCTTCTTCTTACCCCAAGGGAATGAATGCTCTTAAATATGTTGTAGATCAGAAAGCAACAATAAATACTACAGATAATATGCATATTATTCTTCCTTTAGTGAAAGGTGTTGAGAAAATCAACAGCTTAAAGCATTTTTAAAACTTTAAAAAATGTACTCATTGACCACATCCCAACAATCAAGAATTGAAATTTGACATGTCTAAACGTATCCATTTTTTTTTTCAGATTACTGAATTATAAATACTGACATTGTTTAAAAGTGATCTAAAACTTAATCACAAATAATAGATAAGACTTTCTTAACAGGAAATTGAAATAAGGGAAATTTAAGCTGAAAAATGCTACTCACATAAATCATAATATTTAATAAATCTGAAAATAATGATAGCAAGATATAGGCATTTTGTTACCTATATTACTCAGTTAACATTAAGACACAAAAATGTTACTAAATTGCATTTTTTATTATATGGAATAATTGAAAGGAGCCATATTACAGCTCTTGCTATAAGATACTAATATTTCTGATACAGAATAATGTATAAAATGTTAACTATAGTGGATTTTTAGAAATATGGGTAAGAAGGAGTTTCTAAGAAGTATTTCTATATTTCATTTTCCTGACACATTTTAAGATACAGTCCTGGAGACTTTGTTGACAGGTGAAGAAGATGGTACCATAGATATTTGGAAGAGAAATTCTGACAAAAAAAAAAAAAAGGCCCTAAAAAATATCTTCTCCTTCAATCAAAGCAGCTGATAAAAAAATAATAAATAAAAATCACAGAACAGAGACGAGAGTACATAAGAACAAGAATGCAAGAACAGAAGAGAAAAACTGAAATACTATTTTTGCTTTTTATCTAAAAATATCTTTCCAGAGAAAAGTTATAGCAATTACTGAGGGTAAGATGTTACTAGGCCCAATGCAGTCTACAATGCTGCATTAGAAGAACATTTTACATTTCACCAAAAAAAATTTTCCTTCTTGGTCATCAGTTCTGACAGGTAGTTATCAAAAGGCTTTTTTTTTTAATGGAACATTTTAGTCCCAATTTTCCTTTTTTTTTCCTTTTTTGTTTATTGAAGTAACATTAGTTTACAACACTACATATGATTCAGAAATGCAGGTTCATGCCTCTTCCTATGTGTGTTACCACACCACACCAACTACCTGAAATCATAAAATACACAGAAGAAAACATAAGCAAAACACCCATGATACTACTGGCTTCAATGGTGTCTTTGGAACATCAACTCCAGTGGCAAGGGAAACAAAAGCAAAAATACACAAAATTATGAAACTAAAAAACTTCTGCACAGCAAAAGAAACTTTTTTTTTTAAGATTTATTTATGCATACAAAAGCTGGGGCACAGGCCAGAGATGCGGGGGGTGAGAGGATTCACCAGAGACAGAGCGGGGAACAGAACAGGCAGAATGACTGAAATACACTGCTGAGGGGAGCAGCAGGAGAGACAGGAGAGGTCTGCTGTGCCATGTGGGTTGCTCCCTGGCAGGCCAGGGATCAAACTCATACTGCAGCAGCTTTGGATTGCTTCATAGTGCGGTGCTCAACCCATTGCACCACCAGAGAGGCCCCAAAAGAAACTATTATTAAAGCAAAAAGACATTCCAGTGAATGAGGGGAAATATTCACACATTATACATACCACAAAGAGCTAGTAATACACAAGGCTTTTTACATAAGGGGTGCTAAACAACCTTAGGAGGAGACACTGTCTTCCCAATAATATTGGAGGAGGTCAACAAAGGTGTGACCACTAGTTGTCCTGGCCAGGAGAGGCTCCTCCTATGTCCTTGGAATATATGATCTGCCCAGTGTTCCCCTACAGGGAACTACCAAGGGCCCCACCTTGGGAGAAGCTATGTTATTGAGACCATCTGGACAATATATGGACTGAACTGAGTATCAGGAATACAGAGAAACAAAACATAGGGTCAGACAAAGCAAACCAAAAACAAACCCTAGAAATCTGACAGTAAAATGGAGACAACCTGAAGGGAAGGGGAAAAGGTAGGAGCAAAGGGAGAAGGGGGTCCCACAGACTGTGGGTGCCATAGTGGTGGGTATGGTGTGGTAACATACATCTGAAGAGGTATGACCCTATAAACTGAATGATATATAGGGCTGTAAACCAATGTTGGCTCAATAAAATTAAAAATAAAGCAATATGAAACATAAAAAAACTAAAGAGTTAAGAATATATAACTACGACATAAAGAATAACACCATATAGAAAAAAAGTTGACAATGAAGATAGATATTATTTGTGAAAGTTGTTCCTGGATTAAAAAAAACAAACAGAAATACAATGGAACAGAAAAAAATAGTTCAAACATTTAAGCCAAGAACACTTTTTTCATACAAAGTCCTGAATCTGAAGAATTAAAATTAAGACATAACTCAGAAACATAAGCATGATACATGATCTACAAAGAGAGCAAATGTTTTAAATGTTACTAAGTAAGTAACTAAATGTTACTGTGTCTCAATGATAAATTATTTTAGCACCTAGTCAAAAGAGAAATATTACAACTATAAAAACTCAGTTTGGCCATAGCCTTCCCCACAGCAAAGCCCTGGCAAAGCAGAAGGCAAAATTGAGATTTTTGCAAAACAGTAATAACCAAATGTGATGAGAGCATGAAAAAGAAAACCAGTGACAGATTTCAGTTATAAATAAAAAAATTAACATTATATGTATATAGTGCCTAGAAATATATCAACAGACTAATATCACATACTTACTTACTTGGCTAAAGTAAGATTTCCCCAAGTAATTTAAATAAATTTCAATTATGAAATATAGCCATATAAATAACCACAATAAGTCAAAATTTTAAAATTTATCTCCATAGATATGGAAAAACCATTCAGTAAAATTCAATCTTGTTTTTAAATTAAGTAGAAGAAAGTTTATTTTCTTAAACTGATGAATATATCAAACCAAATGATAGCATTATGTTTAATGTTGAAATATTAAAAGCAATGACATATGTTCAGAAATGCAATTATAGGGCCTCCCTGGTGGCTCAGGCAGTTGAGTGCCGCACTGTGAAGCTGTCCGCAGCCACTGCAGTGAGGGTTCGATCCCAGCCCACTCGGGAGAATCCCACATGGCGCCGCAGACCTCTCCTGTCTTGCCAACTGCTCCCCTCAGCGGTATATTTCGGACAGTCTACCTGTTCTGTTCCCCACTCTGTCTCTGGTGAATCCTCTCACCCTCCCGTGCATCTGGCCTGTACCCTGCTTCATGTATAAAATAAATCTTAAAAAAAATGCTATTATATAAGATAAAGATATCCACTAGTGCTAAATTTCTCTAAGTTCAGTGCAACACAGTTTGATAAAAGAAATATACAAGCTATAAAAATTAATTAAAAAGACAAATTATTTGCTAATATAACTACAAAGGTAGAAAAGTGCATAGACTGGAAACGCAATAGAGTATTCGCTAAAGTAGTTAATTATAAAAGTAAATGTTCAATTACAAAGTAAATATAATTTCAAATGATAATATATCATATATAGGTTGATTATGTCATTTGTTCTTCATAGGAGGACAATTTTGAGAGAAAGGAGGGCATTTAAAACATAAGACAACTGACTAAATTCAAATAGGGTCTAAGGATTAAATTATAATAATTTACCTGCGATTTCTATGGCTCTTTTATGATTATATAAGAGAATATTTTTGTCCTTAAGAAATATGTTCTAAAATATTTAGATGAGGGAGTGCTGAATGGCTCTGAAAAAATAAGTTCCTTTACACTGAAATTTCAACATTTCTGTAAGAATGTGATTGTTTGAAATTTTTAAATTTATTTTTAAAAATTTTGGGCCTCCCTGGTGGCACAGCGGTTGAGCACTGGGTTGCGAAGCTGCCCGCAGCATCCTAAGTGTCGGTTCAATCCCCGGCCCCCAGGAGAGGGTCCCACATGGCGCGCAGACCTCTCCTGCCGTCCGCTGCTCCCCTCAGAAGTGTACTTCATCCGTCTGCCTGTTCTGCTCGCTGCTCTGGCTCTGGTGAATTCTCTCACCCTCCCACGCTTCTGACTGTCCCCCAGTGCTTGCATAAATAAATAAAATAATCGTAAAAAAAAATTACTTTTAAAAATTTAATAGGTTTTTCATATGATGATTTTTAGACTTAGGAAATACATGAGAAAAAAATTAATTCATAGGGGCCTCCCTGGTGGCGCAAGGGGTTAAGCACCGCACTATGGAGCACTCTGCAGCCTCTGCAGCACCAGTTCAATCCCTGGCCAGCCAGGAAGCAACCCACATGGCGCAGCAGA